CCACCCCCCACCGTCCCTCCCCTATTTCCCCCCAACTGACCCCAGTGTGTAGTGCTCCCTTCCCTGTGTCCATGTGTTCTCATTGTTCAACACCCGCCTATGAATACGTGAAACAGACCAGCATTTACCCCATCACCACAAGGGGGTACCTGGGGAGAACCCAGCAGAACGCGGGAAGGAGCGCTTGGATGAGCGGTACCTGATCTTTCACAGCTCTGGTTGGCTTCACTTTGCCGGTGCGGGTGATGTCTGCGCACAGGGAGATTTCTGAAATCCCACCATGTAAGAAGAGAGGGTTGGTGAGGGTCCAGGGTTGGGGCATCCAGCCTTGCCCCAAATGGGCATGTCCTTTCCCCAAGGGACTATCTGCACCCGTAGTGGGAGTCCCTCTTCCTCGCCTTCAGAGGAGACACAGGTTCAAAATATCCTGTCCCCATGGCCCCCAGGATGTCTGGCTACAGTTCAGACAGCAGAGCTGGGGCCTTTGACTACGCCTGTTCCCCTTCAGCAGGGCCACAAGTGCGATGTCAATCAGACCCTGCATGTCTGGCCACCCCCAGGGATTTTGGAATGAACTCCCAGCCACCCCAATGAGAGGTTCAGTGTGAGCCCCGGCCCGCAGTGACCTTGGGGTGGGGGACACAGCAGTGACACTAGCCCACCCAGCTCTTTGTGACATGTGTTGTGACTGCCTCTGGGGACAACTGCAGCCCTGAACATACCCCACTTTGTTCAAATAGCATGGCTGAGAAAGCAAACATTTGTAAATCCTTCCTCCCTCATCGGAATATATGACCACAAGGCCATTCCAATAAAATAGATCTCTGTGTCCCACAGCATGATAGGGTGACCCTTGTCCCACATGAGACTGACCCAGATGACCTTCTAAACATATTCACAGCCACATCTTAGTTAGGGTCAGACAAGCATTGTCCTTTCATGGCCTGGACTCCCCAACTCCTGCACTAACCAATTGTGTGACCTTGGGCAAGTCTGTTTAGCTCTCCTGCCTCAGTTTCCTCACCTGTAAAATGGGACGATAATAATAATACCAATTTCACTGGATTGCTGTAAGGATTAAATGTAAAGTCTTAGCATATGCTTTGCGATAGAGTAAGTGCTACAGTATTATTTAAATGTGTATTAATGAATAAAATGCATTAATGAAATGAAACCTAAAGATTCCATCTGCTACATATTATACATATGTCTGTGTGTGTATATATATATATAGTTTTTATTTTTTGAGACTGGATCTCACTCTGTCACCCAGGCTAGAGTGCAGTGGCGCAACCACGGCTCACGGCAGTTCTGACCTCCTGGGCTCAGGCAGTTCTCCCATGTCAGCTTCTTGAGTAGCTGGGACTACAGGCACATGCCACCACGCTCAGCTAATTTTTTTTTTCTTTTTTTTTAGAGACAGGATCTCACTATGTCGTCCAGGCTGGTCTCAAACTCCTGGGCTCAAGTGATCCTCCCATCTCAGCCTTCCAAAGTACTGGGATTGCAGGTGTGAGCCACCATGTCTGGCTGCTACATATACACTTAATACACATAATGATACTAATCATGATATTACTGTTCAAAATGAGGTCAAGTTAAAGAATGAATTTTATTTAAAGAAGAACATTACATAAATATGAGAAGAGATGGATCATTGCTATGACAGAAATGGTGAAGATGAGATATAAATAATGGAATTTTGGGAACACTGTCTATATTATTGTATAAGACAGTGTCATCATCTACTTTTTGTTATGGATATTTGAGGTATCAAAAAGGAATAGAGGGTCGGGAGCAGTGATTCACACCTGTAATCCCAGCACTTTGGGAGGCCAAGGCGGGCGGATCACCTGAGGTCAGGAGTTCGAGACCAGCCTGGCCAACATGGTGAAACTCCATCTCTACTAAAAATACAAAAATTAGCCAGGTATGGTGGCATGCACCTATAATCCCAGCTACTAGGGATGCTGAGGCGGCAGGATCACTTGAACCCAGGAGGCGCAGGTTGCAATGAGCCAAGATCGTGCCATTGCACTCTAGACTGGGTGACAGAGTGAGACTCCATCTCAAAAAA